TTCACAATATAAATAATTAATGCTACCCATGATTAAAATTAATATTAATTAATAATGTAGAGAAAACTAGTCTTAATTTTATCTAATAGTTTTAATAAAACTAAACTGATATCTTCTTCTTTTTTTCATCGTATCGTAATATATATATATATATATATATATTGCATAATTAATGTTCTGCAATAATCTTTGTTTAAACCATAAATTAGTAACGTTTTATGCTAAATTTGTTGTTAATTACAGCACAAGCAACCCACCGCAAAAGAGAGGTCATTGCTGAATTTGAGAGGGAATATATAAATGGGAAAGTTTTGTTCCTTTGGAGATTCGACCAAGTTATCCAAAGTAGGGGTTTTTTTTTAAATGATTGGTGAACCAGTTTGAAATTAATATATTTGCCATGAAATTCCAAAATACAAAAATCCTCAATGTGAAATAATTGAAAAAAAAATGTAAATGGTTTTAAATACACATCAGTTGGAAAATTTATATATATATATATATATATACACATATATTATGTGTGATCTATATAACTAGCAAACATATATCAAGTCTAAAAAAATAAAAACTTTATTTATAATTTTATAGAATATCCGAAAAACTATGTTAAGTAACCGGATCGAAAAACTACTTGAACTGAAAAAAAAGGTTAAATATTACGAAATCAATCTTTATATTTAACCTAATACACACTAAACCAATCATATAAGGAAAAAAATACAAACACGCAAAGGTAGAGACTATTTCTTCCTCTCTCTCTCTTTTTTTTTTAAAAAAAAATAATAGCAAAAACACGTAAAAAAAATAAAAAAAAATCAAAGGCAACACAGATTGGTAAAGACCAACTAGTACGAGAATCATGTCCTTTTATTTAATTTGATTAACATATTCTCTTCTTTTTTTTTTTTTATCAGGGTTCATTGCATTATAGTATTGTTAATCTTATATTATTTCCTTAGCTGTAATCAATCACAATTATTATTATTATTATTATTATTATTATTATTATTATTATTATTATTATTATTATTATTATTATTATTATTATTATTATTATTATTATTATTTTCCGGAGTTACAAATCGCTTTCCTAGACCGATTCTGAAGTATTTCTTATGATTTTGCTTTTAGGGTAATGGTATAATATCTCTCCTATATCTCCAATTCCAACCACCCAATTCTTTAGAGAGCTTCTAGTCTCTCATAAACCGGCATGCTGTTTCCCCCGATTTAAGAGAGACTTGGAACGCATGTCATCGACCGTAATTCACATGGTGGTGGTGGACGTTGAAACAAATTGGTCTTGGATATATTGCGTCTTTGTTTGGATATGAGACCCTCATTCCGGCGAAACTCGGTCCCGACTCGTCCGAGTTAGGGTTTGAGTGGAGGAATCGGGTGAGTCAACGGCCGAGTCAACTCGGGTGACTCGGCGGTTAGGGTTTCGGATTAAACCCGGTTTACACCGGTTTAATCGATCCAATTTCGGTTAAACCCGGTTTGGGTCAATCGAACCTGGTTCGATTCGATCCAAGTCCGGTTATCGGCGGTCAGATCGGGTTTGACCCGGTTCCGTCGGTTCAGACCGGATTCCGGCCGGTTCAGTCCGGCTCAAACCCGATTCCGGCCGGTTCAGACCAGTTCACTCCGGTTCGGTCAATTCGTTGACCAATTTGGTCAACAGTTGACCGGTTTAGGTCAAATCAGACCGGTTCAGGTCCGGTTTGGGGTCAATTGGACCGGTTTAGATCGGTTCAGGTCAATCTAGGTCCGGTTTAGGACTATTGAGTCCGGTTTAGGTCAATTGAGTCCGGTTTAGGGAAATTCAGACTAGTTTAGGCTGGTTTAAGTCTCGGTTAGGGTCTGATTTGTCTGGGAAGGGCTAGAATTGTTCGGTTTAGACCAATAGGGTCTGATTGGAGTTTAATTAGGGTCGGTTTAGACTGGTTTAGGTCTAATGTGAGGGTATGTTCGTCCAATTAGGCTAGAATTGAACCGTCTAGGTCAATTGGGTCCGGTATTAGGTAAGATCAGATTGGTTTTAGGCTGGTAGAGGTCTGTTTAGGATCTGATTTATCTGATTAGGGCTTGTATTGGTCGGGTTAGGATCTGATTTTGTGTCTTAGGACTAGATTGAGTCAGTTTTAGGGTCCGGAGTGTATAAGTAGGACTAGAACTAACTGGTTTAGGGTTAAGATGGATTATTATTATTATTATTATTATTATTATTATTATTATTATTATTATTATTATTATTATTATTATTATTATTATTATTATTATTATTATTATTTTCCGGAGTTACAAATCGCTTTCCTAGACCGATTCTGAAGTATTTCTTATGATTTTGCTTTTAGGGTAATGGTATAATATCTCTCCTATATCTCCAATTCCAACCACCCAATTCTTTAGAGAGCTTCTAGTCTCTCATAAACCGGCATGCTGTTTCCCCCGATTTAAGAGAGACTTGGAACGCATGTCATCGACCGTAATTCACATGGTGGTGGTGGACGTTGAAACAAATTGGTCTTGGATATATTGCGTCTTTGTTTGGATATGAGACCCTCATTCCGGCGAATGTCGGCTTTGTTTGGATATGAGACCCTCATTCCGGCGAAACTCGGTCCCGACTCGTCCGAGTTAGGGTTTGAGTGGAGGAATCGGGTGAGTCAACGGCCGAGTCAACTCGGGTGACTCGGCGGTTAGGGTTTCCGAAATTAGGGTTTCGGATTAAACCCGGTTTA